TAGGCGGGCTTCGGGGGCTGTGGAGGGACATGAGCTCGCGCTCAGTGCGTCAACGAGCGAACGCACCGAAGATGGGACGACAATCTGCGGGGCGGGGGCTTCCTCTTCGGCGGATGTGGCCTCGACATAGTTTGCGGGGACGAAGCCAGCCTTTCCGCCATCCTCGTCTGTCTGAACCAGGAGCCAGTCTTCCTCGGTGTCAAAGACGAGAAGGACCTGGTCTTCGGTGATGGATAGCTCGCCGGGTGCGCTGGCCTCGTAGTCGTAGAGGGCTTTGACGACAGAGGTGTGGTCGGCCTGCGCTCACAGTCGGTCAATGACGGCAGCAGATGATGGAGCTGCACGCACCGGCTCGACGTATGCTGCAGGGACGAGGCCAACGGGGCTGTCCTCCTCCTGCGACTCGCCCTTGACCTTGACCCTCCACCAGCTGGAACGGGGTGAGATGGAGCAAGGAAAGCGGGGAAAGAGGGTACTCCTGGTCGACGCGCTCCTTGAGGAACAGGATCTGGTTCTCCTTGATGGATATCTCGTCCTCTGCGCCGGGATCCGGGTCATAGTCGTAGGATGCCTTGAGAACGGCGAGATAGTGCTCTGAGGGTGCCGCCATCGTGGTCTCGGTAGAATGATTCGCTGACTCCCGTGACCCGCAGGCGATCTCGTCAAGAGAAATATCGCACATTTATTATACGATAATGTATTAATACTCCTATCGTAGGCTATCTATCCATAAGAACGGTCCCATTGGCAATGCGGATGCGCAAGCCGTCGTCTGCGAGGGCAGCCAACTCCGCCATTACGGCGTTTGGGGGGACGCGGGCGGCCCCAGAACGGGAATCGTTTTGGATGGACAGAGAGAACGAACCCAACATAGCTCGGCCGGCGACGGACGCCCTTCGCGCACGCAGCGCGTCCAGGAGGGGCGTGAACGTTTCGCCCCCGGTAGCATCGACGATACGCAGCGCGGTAAGCTGCGGGAGGACGTCGGCGGACTGGAGGACGGTGACTAGCTCCCCCAACCCGCTGGGGAAGTAGAGCGTGAGCTTGAGTTCGACGACGGGGGCGGCAGCCTGCAAGAAGGCCCGGAAAGCGCCGGCGGTGATTTTGGGCGGCATCCGGAACGACAGGCGCTTCAGGGGGCAGGCGGAACGCACCAGCAAGGCATGCAGCGACTCGGTGAGTGCCTCCATGCCGCCGGGCAAAAATCCGGGGCCCCATATATCGAGCTGCTCGAGGTTGGGGAGTGTGACGTATGGAAGGAGGGATTCGCCCGCCGTCAGCAAAGTGTTTAAGGAGGGGAGCGTGAACGGCAGAATGGGGGGTGCGACCATGTCGTGGACATTGAGTGAAAACTCAAGATGCAAGAGGTTGGAGCACCGCTGTAAAGCGGATATCCCCGGTCCTGCTTCGTGCGTGGTCATCTTGAGGGTGGTCAACTGCTCCCAGGCGATGTCGGGCGCGAGGATGGGGAAATCCATGACGGTCACTTTGCGGAGCAATGGGGCGTCCCGAATTGTGATTATGTGGTCTCCGTCGATCACTGCTGACCGGACAGAAAGCGAGAGCGAGCGGAGAAGGGGAAAGGGGCCGTGGTGGGCGATAAGTTCCGAAAAGGACTCGATGGGGAGGCGCAACTCGACGTCGCGCCACTGCTGGCAATAGTCCATGCTCTCGTCCAGATATTCTGCGCCTCGCTTTCGGTCATGGGTGGAGAAGTAAATGTCTCGAGGGCGGTTATTCGCACGAGACATCCACAACCCCACCATTAATGGGCTCACGGGAGGCCCGGTGCTGCCAACCGCGATAGATTGCCACAAGTCGGGCGTATCGAGAGCGATGGCCCGCCAGTCTCTGCAAATCTGGGTAAGAAGCAGTGGAGCCTGTTGAGGGTGTTGAGGGTGTGGAAGGCCCCCGCTCGGAAGGGCCTCTCGAAAGATTCGCTGTGTGATTTCAGGCGGGAGGGATAAAACAGGAGGGACGTTCATCTTTGAGTGGGTGTTGAGCGCTGAGCGGTCGCGGTAGCCGTTAAATACGAAATCTCACATAATTCAAATGGGTTGCAATAGGAGACTTACGATATGCAGCTTTGCAACAAAGGGGTCGAGAGTCGCCGCGAGACAAATGAAGTTCTTGCTTCCGCGATAGGAGACATGTGTAGCTTTGCAACAGACGCGAGAGCCGAGACGCGAGCCGCGCAACGATTGAAGCTCAGAGGGTACCGAGATGGATTCTTCCCCGTCCCCGTCGGCATTTTTTTTCAGCGGTTGCGCGAGTCCAGTAGCCGACTTGCAGGTTCAATGACATAGAAGGCTTCACAGTCATGACATGGACGGAAGAAGAAAAAGCTGATGCGGGCCCGTGACAACTCCGAGTCGGTAGACAGACTGAACTCATCTCCTACTCATTCCTGACACCGGACAGAGCCCTTTCACGGCCCCGGATCCACTACTTATTCGTTCACAAAATATACACAACAAATATACACTTTTCTGCTGCTAAACCGCTCTCTCCTCCTGCCATGAGCAAGCTCAACGCCGGTGCCTACGAATTCATCCCGGGAAGAGGCTTCGTTGCCCCCCAGCCCGCACCTCCGCCCCCAGAGCCCCTCGAGCGTCCCGAGCAGACAGAGGCTCCCCGTCCGCCTCCCACAATTTCCCTAAACATCGGCGGCGCAAAACCCACCCCCGCTGTACCTCCTCCTGCCGTTGCCGTTGCAGCCCCTGCCTCTGCGCCTGCTCCAGCGCCCAAGGCAGCCGCCCCCTCGGCTCCCGCACCCTCCAAGACCTTTTCCACCGAAAAATCCAAGACAGATACATCCGCCATCGTCCAGGAGGTCCGCACAGTCGCAGACGACTCGGTACTCGAAGATCTGTACGGCGATGGTGGGTGCCACGAATGCTCCGCCGTTCTCTCATTCAATCGCGCATAACAGTCAAGGAGCATCTCAACATCGTGTTCATCGGCCATGTCGATGCCGGGAAGAGCACCATGGGCGGGAATCTCCTCTTCCTCACGGGCATGGTTGACAAGCGGACCATGGAAAAATACGAGCGCGAGGCCAAGGAGGCCGGTCGCGAGACCTGGTACCTGAGCTGGGCCCTCGATTCCACGCCCCAGGAGCGCGCCAAGGGAAAGACCGTAGAGGTCGGACGCGCCTACTTTGAGACGCCCTTCCGCCGATACACCATCCTAGATGCCCCAGGGCACAAGACCTTTGTTCCCTCCATGATATCTGGCGCTGCCCAGGCCGACGTCGCGATCCTCGTTATTTCCGCTCGCAAAGGTGAGTTCGAGACGGGCTTTGAAAAGGGCGGCCAGACCCGCGAGCACATCATGTTGGTCAAGACCGCCGGCGTCTCCAAGATCATTATTGTCATCAACAAAATGGACGACCCCACGGTTAACTGGGAGAAGGGCCGGTACGACGAAATCAGAGAAAAGCTGATCCCCTTTGTTCGCGCTGCTGGCTTCAATCCCAAGACCGACGTCACTTTTATTCCCGTGTCTGCATACACCGGGGTCAATCTCAAAGATCGTGTGAGCAAGACTATCGCTCCGTGGTGGACGTGAGTTTTAGGGTTCTTGGATTTGTCCGGAGCTGATTTTCTCGCGTAGGGGCACCTCCTTCCTCGAACACATCGACCACATGCCTATGGTCAACCGTAACATCAACGCCCCCCTGATGATGCCCGTGGCCGAAAAATACAAGGACATGGGCACCATCATCGTCGGCAAGGTCGAATCGGGCCACATGCGCAAGGGCGACTCGCTCATTCTCATGCCGAACAAGGACGCCGTCGAGGTGGCCGCCATCTACAACGAGATGGAGGAAGAGGTCAACCAGGCGCTGTGCGGCGACAACGTCCGCATCCGCCTGCGCGGCGTCGAGGACGAGGATATCAGCCCCGGGTTCATGCTCACCAGTCCGCAGAAGCCCATCCACGCCGTCCGCCAGTTCCAGGCCGAGCTCGCTATCCTGGAGCACAAGAGCATCATCTGCGCTGGCTACTCCGCCGTCATGCACATCCACACGCTCTCGGAAGAGGTTACGCTCCCGGTACGCGCACAAAATCTCTTTCATACCGCGCTGTTTCCTGATCTCTACCTAGGCCCTTTTACACTACTTTGACAAGGCAACCGGACGCAAGTCCCGGAAGCCGCCTCAATTTGCGAAAAGGGGTCAGAAGATCGTCGCGCTCATTGAGACCGCTGCGCCCGTCTGTGTCGAGCGGTTTGCCGACTACCCTCAACTAGGCCGCTTCACACTACGAGACGAGGGTACGTCCAGTTGAAGAGTTCGTGGTCCTGCACTGACACCCCCCTCCGCGTAGGCCGAACAATAGCTATCGGAAAGGTTGGCTCGAGTTTGTGAGCTGAATGGACTGCGCTGACTCCCTTTTGCAGATTACGAAGCTCATCGAGGGGCCGATTGAAGACACTACAGATGCAGTTGCCAACATGTCCATCAATGCCTAAGTTCTACGCCGTTGAACCTGTACTAGTACACACGCTCCATCCATTTAGAATTAGGCCTGCCGCCATTTGTGAACGTGATGGATTAATTTCACCTAGTGAATGTTGTACAAAATTCAATGACATGCCTGTATCATTGTATTATTTCGGAGGTTGAGGCTCCCCCGTATCTGGTGGCTAGAAGATGCATGGTAGACGTTATCTGGGTCCCGAAATTTCTTTTCTGGAGAAATAATCAATTGGGGGTGGTCCCTTATCTCAATATTATTTTGAAGGCATCAAATCTTTGCAGGCCTCTGTGGCACCTTACCTCCAAGTCTGACTTGCAGGTTACCCTGTCAAGGCAAGAATGTGCTTGAACTTTATTCATCAATTTTATTTCTGTTTAATAATAAAAGAAAAAATCCAAGTCCACGGACAGCAGGCGAATGACTCAGGCTAACGAGTCCGAATGGGATTGATACGATAACTAGGCTCGGCTATATATTTTCTGGCATCTATTTCCTTCCGGAGACTAAATACTTTATCCCGCCTTAGCTCAGTTGGAAGAGCGTGGGACTGTAACGGTTACCTGCTTACGTAATAAGGTATCCCGAGGCCGCCTGTTCGAACCAGGCAGGCGGGATTGTTTTTTTGCGTTTGGGAAGGTCCAGGGGAGTTGCTGGAACGTCCGGAAGCGCCGGCGATCAACCAATCTTTTTTTACGCTTTAATCAGGAATTGGCTTGTTGGGCTTGTCCGAAATATTTGGGCGACGAACTCGTTAAATGCGCCATAGGAATCTCCACTGACTCCCAAGTTTGCAGAATATTCGAATATCAGATGGTCTTGAACCGAATTAATGCGGAAAATCAGTTACAACAGCACTTGCATGTTAAAATCGGTTTGCACTCAGGTTCGAGTGCTTTGTATATGCAGGGGGGGTCGAGTGAAACGCCTGTCAGTGCTAGACACCCCCGAAACACGTCTTCTTTATTTTTCCCCTCCCGCTACCGGTGCTTCACGTAAACTTTGTTTCAAGTCGAGCTCGGAAATGTGAATGTAGCAGCCAATACTCCCCATTACTTGCAAGCATCTTTTGAAGTATTCTGTGCCTCCCCCTATGGCTTCTCGCCTGACGTTCCGAATAAATTGTGCAAGATTGAAGAAAATCGCCTAATTTGGCAACGGGCGGTTGTTTGTTTCTGTATTGGGATCAGAGATTTGTCAGCAACGTCTTCCAGCTCTCACGAAGATGAGTCGGAAGGTGCTCAACGCTGTGGCCTTTATATCTCCGCAGAACCACCCTATTCTCATCCGCACATTCGCCAAGCAGGATGACCATGCCATAAAGTATCACTACATTGCACACACGAGTTTGGACGTGATCGAAGAGCGAGGTTGAAGCTTCTTTTTCTTTTGACTCCGCCTTCTGACTTTGAAGCAGTGGCGGCGGGAGGAAAGTCGACTGAATGCTACTTGGGCCTGCTCTATGCTATGGAGGACGTTGCTGTTTACGGGTACATCACACCTCTGAAAGTCAAGATTGTGATTGCGTTGGCTCTGTCAGATTCCGTGGTCCGTGATGTCGAGGTCAATATGGTGCGTGAACTCATGGCCGAATCTCCATCGTTCTCACTGAGAGTTTCCCAGATATTCAAGGCACTTCACATGGCATATTACTCTGCAATATCGAATCCTTTTTTGAAACTAGACGCACCCTCAGAAGCCACAAACGATCATTCGCCATACCTTCTCGTCGGCCGCTCGAACTGGAAAAACTTCCGCCGGCGCATTGACGAAATCAGCAGGGTAGTTGGCAGCCCCTCGAATACGCTGAACACTTGACTTCATCGGTTCCCTCCATCGCAGCACATTCATTAACAAGTGTTGCACTGCGATGAGTCGCTTCGGTGACCGGAACCTATATCAACATACCTTCTTATTGACTCAGTTGGCACAAGCTCTCCGCATCTGAGACAGATACGGGGTAGATATTATTTATCGTGTACACGACATATGTATTATCCACCCATCCTTGCCTCTTCCAGGTCTGAGAGTCCGTCAACGGCCTCTCGTGCCATTACTCTGACAATCATGTCTCCGTCAGTACCGGCTACATAGGTCAAGGTGGTTCTGATTCGCTTCAATAGCCTGCTCGAAAACTCTATACGAGACGAGTCGTATATTTGCCTGGTGGTTTCGCGTATCAAAAGCCCAAGGAAGTGCAGCGCTGCTCGCCGAAAAGGGGGGAGCTTGGAATCCGTCGAGGTCGGATTGGTATCCTCAGACTCCGGAGCCGCGGATGTACTCTCGATCTGGAGCAAATCAATCATGGCCTCCGAGAGGTCGGTGACATATGGAACTAGGGCCAGTGGACAAGTATTCTCACATTCAGCCAGCAATGAAAGGGCTGATGTTCGGAGCGTCGTGGGGACCTGGGACGACCGGACGATGTGGAATAGTGGAGGTACCAATATATCAACTGCAAGTCTCAGTTCGATGATGTGCAATTGGAAGCAAAGAACCTACTAAACGCCGGCAAAGCAGAATCGCACCTTTTGATCACAGATGCCAGCGCCTCCCCGATTCGGATGCGGATATCCATGTCATGTTGCGTTATATTGGCAGCACCGAGCCCGTCCAGACCCTGTGCATATTCTTTCACAAGTCCCCTGAGCACGTCTTTGCCATATGTATCCACCATGGCCGCAAGACCCTGTACGGCGTTGAGAAACATGTAGGAATCGTCGTCCTGTACAGATTGGAGAAATATGGACAGAATGGCAGGAATCAGCGCTGGATCTGATAACTGGGCTGATTGGGACTTTTGCGGGCTAACTAGTTGTCGAAGGAGCAACAACCCATGGGCTCTGACAGGTAAAATAGGATCCTGGAGGAGTTTGAGAGCCTTTTGGTAAATTTCTTGGGTGTTATCTCCCTCGTGAGCTCTTCGTTTCGGGGCGGAAGTGGAGGCTAGGCGGGCAGTCATAACCATCCTTGCTTCCCGTGCCAATGGCTGGATGGCAGGCGATCCGGTCAATGACAATGGTTCTAGCTGGGAGAATATCTCGTTAAGAACAGGCGCAGTCCTCGGCGAGAGGTCCTCGTTAGCTGAATAATCAATCAGGTCCGAACAATAGCTGCAAAAAAATGTCTAACCTTCAAGTACCGCAAGTAGCAGATTGACGGAAGTCTCGACCATTTCATCGTCCGGGACAATGATCTCGGCGCCAGGTGTATCGTCATCACTATCCCCTTCGTCGGATTCATTAAGATCCAACTGGTAGGGATGCGTTTTGCTCGGTGTTTTTGCCTCGAATTCTGGGACCCGAGACTCCAGAGCATGCTTCACGAAAGATAGCATGTGAGCTGGGTTCCCGAGTATAGTAGAAGGCCCATCAGAAAGTTGAGTCTGCATTTGAACGACCAGTTGCAGGAAGAGCAGGGTACTAAATCGGATGAGAAGGAGTCAAAACAGACGGGATGGGCTAACCGTGTGGGATCGCCGTCCGTTTCCGACTTGGAATCACGGTACGATTCCAATAAGCGCACAAATAGATCGGAGGATATATCAGTGCGCTGTATAGATTTCAGAAAGCGGACAAAATGAGCAGGATCCGGGTACAGGTCCAAGATGTTAGTGTCAAGATCAATCTCATCATCCGCTGGGGTCAGCAGTCCCAGAGGAATTGGTTTTTCAGACCTGGAACTTGTCAAGCTACGAAAGGGGCCAATCTAGGGAGCTCACTTCTCGAGACGGGTGATGCCTCCTTCCAGATCTACTCGCCATTCGCCGCCTTGGCCGTCAATCACGGACCACAGTACAGCAAGGGCTTCTGTGGCACTGACGACCCTGCCCCAAGTTCCAAGCAGTCCTCGCAACATTTCTTTTAGACTGGGATCGGACGTCTTGATCTGATCCAAGTAGTGCAGCAATGAGTACAGGGTAGAGACAATGGGCGATAGAAGGGAGGATATGAGATCAGGGGAGGGATCGGTATTTGTGACGAGCATCATGATCATGGATAATGCTGCGCGTGGCGGCGATGAGGGAGTAATGGAAAGCAAGGGTGGGTGCAAGAACGAAAGTACTGCAGGAAATGTGGGAGTTGCCAGCATACGGGATATAGAAAAGGCTGCTGCTTGTCTGTATGCTAGCGGGGCGCGAGCCGATAGCAGCTCGAGAACCCTCGGCGTGATGGTAGAAAAATAGACCTGGACACGGTAAGATGGTCACTGCAAAAGATGCGAATTCCTCACCTCTGGCGACATTCCAGCCGGTGCAGTCGTCAACACCCGGGCGACATGCTCAATCTTCTCCAATTGGACTTCATCGGCGTCCTCCCCAAAAACAGCAGCACACAGTCCACGGACACCTTCGGGCCGTAACAGCTGCTTGCTGAGGAGCGATGCGCACGACTTATGAACGTGAGGTGGACACGGCCGCACCGATAGTACAGATCCTAAGGCAGTAATGGTCTGCGATGGAGGCAGGCTGGGTAAGGTTGTAAAGATTATGTACCGGACGCAAAGCAACGCAGCACGCACCTGCCGAGCAAGCGGATTGTCATAGGACGCATGGACTCCGGCATTGCATCCGAAGCAAGCGACTTGGGTAGCCAGCCAATTGCGATGCATGGTCTCAAGAGCTGATCGAGGTGACGGTTTAACAGCGTCGTGGTTATGAAGGTGGGCGAATCGTTGGATAGAATTAGGTTTAATAGACGGGACATCATGCCGCACAGAAGTTTATAATCTTCTGGAGCAGTGGTCAAGTCGATTATCTGCGGTCGAGCAGACTTGCTCGGCCAAGCCAGCATCGCTCGCGAAAGGAGAGGGTCGACGCCCCATTTAAACGTGATTGCAACCAGGGTCCGTAACTCTGCGAGATCCCGTGTCCCAATAGCAGCATCCTCTGTATCCAGTATTCCTTGCACCTTTTCTAGGACGTTTAGAGCCTCAGTAGCTGTTGTCAGCTCGAGGTCTTGGAGCGTTTGCGAACCGTCCAGAGTGGTATTCAGTTCCAAAGACGCATAGTAGCGCATTAGACGCAATTTCAGCACAGATTTGAGGTCGTGCGATGCATTTTCCGACGCAGATTCGATGATACACAACCCCGCCGCAAGCAGAGCTCGAAGATCAGTCATAGGCGATCGCGATCACGTGTTTCAATTCTTGCGGCATTAGCCGGAGGCGATTGCAGATGAAGAAAAGGGGATGGCGGGAGCGCGTATGTGTCGGCGTTGGTGGCGTACGTGTAGTCGTTTTTGAACAGTAGCACAGACTCGCACTTAGAAAATTACATTACCACCAACATAGCTACACGGTGACCATTGATCATGATAGCTTATGCTCTAAAGTCAAGAGCTCTAGATGCCGTGTATATGTACTATAATGCCCGAGATGCCCAGAGCACATACCTAGTTTGCCGAATGGGGCGCTGCTTCGGAGCGAAGAAGCCAGACGTTCCCTGAAGCGCTGCCTTGTTAGCCATCGGAATGACCTTCTCGTGAGGCAGTGGAATGCATTCATCCGTTATATTTGGAGCTCAGGCGGCCTGCGTTGAGGATTCAAGTGTGCATGCCGTTGGCCAACTCAGTCCGGGATTTTCTCTTTGACGATTAGATTAGATTAAATTAAATGG